TTATTTTAGAATGCCAATAATGAAATTGTATTGGCATGCTTATATTGGCCAATAATGATATACCAATTTTGTCTCATTCATTTTAAAACATTTTGTTATAATATTAACGTTTTATGTAGTTATACTCGTATGTTACGAAAATTTTTAAGTAAAATAATTGTTTTGATAATTTTTCGTTAATTATGGCTAATAATTTTTTATTAATTATGCTTTTATTAGTTTTTAACTGCAGCACTTACTGAGATATAATTTTTTTGGTCATGTCTTTACTTTTTTATTTTTTTAGTAAGTAAAAATATATATAAAATGTCAATTATTGTTGAACATTTAATAATTATGAATGGAATACTTTGTTTATTAACGATACATGTGTTGTTGGGATGATAAAGTTACTTAATGAGGAGCTCATCTTAAGTAAAATTCCACTCGTAACCTAATCGGCGTAAATTACTTGGACTAACGTACAATTAGTACAACTAATTGTACGTTATCTTTATCTGCGCTATCTCTCTGCTGAACTTGTCTTTGCGGGCTATGGTAATGTGGCCCCTATATGGCACTTAACCGAAGGAGGATTAATCACAATACCGATGCATGTGTTGTTGAATAAACCTGTAATTATAAATGCATAGGACAAATAGATTTAAAACAACATATTTATATAAATTGTTAAATAGAAACTGATAAAATCATAAAACCACCTAATCAACATATAAATGTTCAAGAGATTTCACCAGTCAAAATAATCAAATGGCGATGGTATGAAGTGGGGCATAAATATTTCTTTTTTCTGTTCCCCTTCACCTCAATAATAACACTTTTTTGAGGTACATTATAAAATTAGGCCTTCTAGCGCACGCTGGGAAACAAAGCAATTTCTTCTAAAAAGAGGGGAAGAAATTTAACTGTTTACATTAAATAACAGTATTTAGTTACCACTCTTAATAAAAAATTTCAGGCTGTCCCACTTCTCCCGCCTCCCACTTCTCCCCACTCTCGCCTTCATATAAAAGTAAAGTATAAAACAATTCGTTGTCACTTAAAGAAAATTTGAAAGTATCAAAATTTAAGGAATGAGTAACATCAAGTGAATAAGAAAAAATGAGAAAGATATTATCATTTGCTTAAAACATAAAAATTTAAGCAAAGATTTAAAAATAAAAAAGTACTTAAACAATATACACCATATAAATAACATAAATAAATTAGTATATTTCATAGAAATAACGTAAATAAGTTAGCAAACGCCATAGACTTAATACTATAATTAAGGTAATGAGAAAAAAATGTTTATACACTCAGTGACATAATTTTTGTATTAAATACTTTTGTATTTGACTTTAATTTGAAAAAACATTTAAAATAAGATATATTAAAACCCATAAGTAAAAATGCCTGTTTTGATTCATTTTTAAACTGCTCTATACTAGCTTTATGTGTATTTACAATCTTGGGAAACATTTTCCACAAGTAAGGTCCGCGATAAGGAACTGAATATAAAGTTAGTTTTGAATTATATTTTGGGACAGCATAGTTGTTATTTAAAATTTTGTTGGATAATTATGCGCTGTTTTGTCAAAATAGGATTGAAATAATTTAGGAGATAATCCCATATTTGTTTTATACATGAACATTAAAACTTAGTGTAAGTTGATTTTATATTTACTTAACTTTAACTTATATATGTATATAACTTATATAACTTTATATGTAAACTCCATGTTTGTCTAAGATTACGCCTAGAAAGTTTACTGAGTTTTCTCTTTTAATGATAGTCATGTTGATTATTAGATTAGGCAATGTGATAGGAAAACTTTTTGATTTATTCCTTTTGTGAAACAAAATAAACTTGGTTTTATCCACATTTAGAGAACGTTTATTACTTATAAACCACTTGTTAACTTTCAATAATTATTCTTTTTTTGTTTCAAATAAAGTATTAATATCTATGTGAGAATAAATCGGAGTCATCTGCAAAAAGAATACAATGTAATAGTTGTGTTGCTAATTTTAAATCATTAATGTACACTAGGAATAACAGTGGTCATAAAATAGAGCCCTAGGGAACCCCACAAGTGACGACAGACGGGAATGTTTGTTTTTGTTTATGCACTATAAATTGTTTTTTATCGGTCAAATAACCTTTGAACCAAAGTAGATTGTTATTTTTTACTCCATATTGTTCAAGTTTTTTTATTAGTATTTTATGATTAACGGTATCGAAAGCTTTTGACAGATCAATGAAAACTCCTAAGGTAAAGTAGTAGCTACTGAATGCACTTGATATTTGATTAACTAGTTCAACCACTGCATGTTCCGTTGATTTTTTTTTTTTGAAACGAAATTGTTTTTGATACAACATATCGTTTTTTCTGATATGTGATTAAAATATCTATTATACATTATTCTCTCAAGCAATTTTGAAAGACAAAGTAAAATAGATAAAGGTGTATAATAAGCGACATTTGAATCATCTCTGGACTTAAATATCGGCGTGATTTGTGCAATTTTTAGCTTTTCAGGGACAATATCTGTTTTAAATGAAAGATTAAATATGTGAATAAATAAGGGTTCCATTATATAATATACTGATTATTATTTTGTACACTCTTAAAAAAATCGGTTTTTCAAAAAACCAAATTTGGTTTTACGGCTTGTCCCAATAAACGAACCAAATTTGAATATCTAGGAAACCAATTTATTTCGGTTTTTCAGAAAACCAAAGTAATTTGGATTTCTAGAAAACCAATTTGAATATTCAGAAAATCAAACTAAGTTGGTTTTCTAGAAAACCGACGCTTTTTGGTTTTCTGGATAATCAAAATTGGTTCGTTTATTGGGACAAGCTGTAAAACCAAAAACTGGTTTTCCAGCAATAACGATTTAATTAAAGTTATGTCTTAATTTTTAAAACGAAACATTTATGATTATTTAACTAAACTTAGCTCCGTGAGTTTTGTTTCATAGAATAGAAATAATCGGCCAGAAATTACAATTTGTTACAAAAAATGAAGTTTATTAATTTTTTACCATATTTATATACGCTTTTCATATCTATATATATATATATATATATATATATATATATATATATATATATATATATATATATATATATATATATATATATATATATATATATATATATATAAACAACTAAAATATATATATATATATATATATATATATAAATATATAAACAACTAAAATATATATATATATATATATATATATATATATATATATATATATATATATATATATATATATATATAATATAAAATATATATATATATATATATATATATATAAACAACTAAAAAGTGGAGAGTTCAAAAAAATAAACTTGATTTAAATGAAGATTTTGAAACAAAAAAAAAAACAAATTTTGAAACTCCTTCGCTCAAAGACGTAATGTTCTAGAAAAGACAGGGTTTTTTGTAATTTCTTTGGATACGCAATATCAAAAATATAATATGAGCAGATGACGAGACCCAAACCACAAGTTACATCAGGAACAGAATTGCTTAGTGTCAGCCCGTCAACTACAAGACTTATTCGTGTTGGATTTATAGCATCTCCTTCAATTTTCAGAGCAGGGGTTGGATAGATTGGATCCTAATAAAAAGAAGCATATAATTAATAAATATTAAATATTGCATAAGTTAACTTTATTAGTATATTTAATTAAATAAATATATAAATAATATATATGCAAATAATTAGAATAAAAATATATAAATGTTAAAAATATTAAAATAAATATTGCATTAAAATAAGCATTGAGTTTTTAAGTAATAAAAATTGAACTGAATAATTTTTTCCATCAATTTTTATTTTAATAAAGAAATATTAAAATGACTTATATGATATAATGATATACAATCATTTAAACGAATCGATGATATAATGATATACAATCATTTAAACGATTAATAAAATTTACTAGCGTCATGGTGAACAAAAGTGCTTCCTCGTCACAAAAAATGCTTGGAAGAATTAAACAATGAAGGTTTTTTATTGTTGCTAAAAATAGAAAAATGAAATAAAAATTACAAAATTAGAGTAGTAATTAAATAATTTTCATGTTAAATTAATAATAACTTTTCTAAAAAATTTGGGAAGTGGTACCCTGGAGCAGCATATGTTATTAGTTAACCAAAAATAATATTTGCAGACTTTTAAAAAAACAACACAGACAATAAAAAAGTTTAATAAACACAGAAAAATTAATTTTGAACTTCCCAGGCCAAGGCAGTAAATATATCTTTAAAGATGCAACTAATTGTCTTACAGGATTCGTAGCCAAATATTTATATAAAATTCTATGAATTTTTCTTAACTTTTTTAAAAAATCAGACACATTTCCTTGACTACTTTCAACAATAGTTTTTGTAAAATGTTTGAAACTACTATCTAATGTAATGTAATGGAAATGCTAAAATTGTACATGCTTTAATTGACAAAACTTATAAAACTTAGCTATTAGTTAAGCTGGATATTAGTATGGATTTTATTATTAAGGATGAAAAATAAAATTTACTAAAACACTAAGAAAAACAAAATTTCAAAAAAATTAAAAAGGAAGCATCAACAAAAACATAATAGCTGAATTGTAAAACGGGTAACTTAATCTGAATTCTCTGACTTTTTAAACTATCTAAAGAAGAAAAAAAAAAACCTTGACTTTTCCAGGTTTTCCATGACTTTAGCCAAAATTAACAAATTTTCCAGGTTTTCCGTGTACAGCACAAACCCTACTTTATTTAGTTTTATAATTTTAATTTTGTTATGTATTTTTATATATAGTTTATGTTGATTGAATGTAAATTTTCTTATAAAAGTAGTAAAACAACTGAAAAATTGTTATTTAAGTTATTGCAATAAGCCGCTATCAAGTTCATTAAATGGGCGACTTATTGCTCATATTCAGGAATGCTGCAGTTTTAAGACAACTTTAAAAGAGCAATATAGATACAAAAAAATACTACATAAACCACTTACAACTTTTTCATAGTAAAGTGCTGGGAATTTATTAAGAACATCCAAAGTTCTTTCATTTCGGCATGTATATTTGAATGTTTCAATAGACAAGATAATCTGGTGAGCCAAAAATTCTATATCTGGGCGCAGTTTCTGACACACATTCTTTATACTTTTTATAATATCTTGAGTTATACCATCATCCACATTCTATTATATAATAATTAAAATATGTAACTAATTTTTTTTATGCTATTAAATCAAATACACTATGCATTTTCTCACATAAATATGTATTATAAATGCTGTAAAATCGTGCTTACCTTATCACTTGAATGATGGCAGTGACGTTTTGCTGAGCAAAGATTAACAGACTCATTCAGCAAGACAGAATTTTGCTTACGACCAGAATTAATTCTAGAGTACTTTATTTTAAACTGTGCAGCTTGCTCATTATTTAGAAGAGGACGCCTAACTCGCTTAAATTTTGCCTTCAACAAATGCACAAGAAGTTCCTGACAATAGAATAAAAGAAAAAGCTTCTTTAGCTATATAACTTTGTAACACCATTGATATTATTAGTTTTAATTATACAGTTAAATACTCACAGAGCCATTGCAGTGACGAGGTTTTAGAGAAGGATACCTTAGGAAAAGCTCATTTGCTACTTCATAGAAGTTACTTGTACTTGGAAATCTATAAAGCATTTATTTTAGTGAAAAGCAATAACATATTTTATCATTATTGACAGCTATGTTAAGAAATATAAAATACCAACTTTGATACTGATAATTATTTTACCAACTTTGATACTGATAATAAATGTTTACTTTAAAAAATAAAAAAATGTACTATTTTAAATTATAATTTACACAGTAATCAAAATACTTACAACCCTTACTGTTGCTTCATGACATCAAAAAAAAAATCCTTAACATACTCCTTTAGTTTTGACCTTTTTGGAATACTAAAGTCTATTTCTTTTCTTTCCACAGCAGCAAGGAGAATAGGGGGCAATGTTAGTTTATCTGACTGAATACTAAAAAATAAGTTCAAGGCATGAATTATGAAACAACTTTTTATATTATACAGTCCTAATAGTGTAAAATGCGTGCACACAATCTTATCTAAGTATCTTGTATTAATTTAATTATTATTTTTTTTTGTTTAATAATATAACATTTTAAATAAGATAAAATTTATAAATGTTTACAAACAAACAAAACATAACTTACAAAGATTCAGAAATAGTTGGTGCCTCGTTATTGTCACAAACAGGTGATAATGTAAAAGGTGATAAGGAATTTACTGCTTAGCAAAACATAGTATTATCATAAGATAGGATATTCATATCATTATATTAATAGTTATATTATACATTTACATATATATATAAATATATATATATATATATATATATATATATATATATATATATATATATATATATATATATATACTATATATATATATATATATATATATATATATATATATATATGTATATATATATATATAAATATATATATATATATATATATATATATATATATATATATAAATATATATATATATATATATATATATATATATATATATATATATATATATATATATATATATATATATATATATAACAAAAAGTTATACTATATATATTAGTTATAATTACAGTAATGGTATTATTATTATTATTATTAAATATGCATAATTAGTAGTAATAATATTGCTACTACTTTTTTTAAATTATAGCTTAGCGATCATATACTATATATTGTTATAAGCAATATATACGACATATTGCTATTAACAATATATCGTATATATTGCTTATAACAATTCATTTCGTATATAAAATTATTGCTTATTGCTAAGCCTTGGAATTACTAAGGCTTAGCAATAAGCAATAATTTTAATAGCAAATTCATATATTCAAAGTTATTGCTTAGCATTACTAATAGTAATGCTAAGCAATAACTTTGGAAATAAAAACATTAGAGATATATTTTAAATAGATATAACAAATACTAACAGGTAAAAAGGTATTTGATGCCATTAGTTTACTAATATAATTGAACGACTTCTTAGAGAGTAAAATTGAAAATAGATAATAGCAATTCCAATTTTATAAGTAACGAATAAATGACAGTTATTAAATAGCGCGCTTGTTTAAAACTAATATGGAGGCTGCAAGTAAACAACCAATCAAATTTAAAGATAATAGATGAATATTTGAAAAACCAAAATAAATTAAAACCCACGCATTTATTTTCTAAAAAAACAATAGTTTTTCAAATATGAATTGTTGGAAAACCAATTTATTTTTGTTTCTCTTGCAAAAAACCAAATCATTTTTTGGATACGCCATAAAACCTTTGGGTTTTCTGTGAAACCGATCGATTTTCTAGATAATCAATGAAAAACCAATTTTCGTAAGAGTATAGAAGAGTGTTTATAAAGATGTTAGCATTATTATTGGAAGCATGGTTATTTAGGTCAATGTTAAAATCTCCAACTAAATAGGCATGACTTCGGGTTTTTATAATATTTGTAAAAAATGGTTCAAGATGAGTTTTAAGTTTTTTTAAGTTAGTAGAGGGAGGTCTATATGTGTCATTTAAAACTATTTTTTTAGTGATTATATTTAATAACCCAATGCATAAAAACTCACAATCTATTTCATTCACACATAAATCATTACGTAAACTATAATTAATTAAGTTGAGGATAAAAATACTTACGCCCCCACCAATACCAAAAATACGTGGTTGGTGAACTAATTTGTAATTAATTAGTTCAAATTGCGCATTAGTTTCGCCACACTTACCCCAAGTTTCAGTAAAACAAATAATTTTAAAATCAAGTTTTAATTCATCCAACGAAAACTTAAGATATTCAAAGTTTTTATTTAAGCTACGAATAATAATGTTTAAAATTGAAAAACTGTTTTCAATTTTTCTAATAACTGTATAGTATTGGCTTTCAAATATTTTCTGATTAAATTTTTAAGAGTCATCGTCGTCACTGAGTACGACATTTTCCTCTAAAAATCTAATTGTAAAGTTTTCCTCCATTTTAAAGTAAAAACATATACAAATAAACGCAAAATAGTTAATGAAATAGTTAAAAAAGGTAAAAAAAAAAAATAACTAATAAGCCCTAACCCTTACTATCTTGACACGGATTTGGGATTTCTTTCGTTTTCTTAGACACTTATTCTCGAACAATCAGCTTATCATATGATATTTATGCAAATTTTCTGTTTAACTGTTGCTAGGCTAATAGCTACTATACATTTGAGAGCTAAAAAAATTCATAGATCTTCTTTTATTAGGGTAGTTAATCTGATTTTAAAAATTAAAGACTTTTTAAAGAATATCAAAGAGAAAGGAACATTGTTTGTGTGTGTGAGTGTGTGTGTGTGTGTGTGTGTGTGTGTGTGTGTGTGTGTGTATGTGTGTGTGTGTGTGAGTGAGAGAAGGAGAGAGAAAGAGAGACATAATTTGATATATAAAAGAAAAAAATAAAAATAATAAAAATAAATAAAAAAGCTCATCAAAAAAAATAAAAATAAATAAAAAAGCTCATTTTTACTTGTAAATTAAATGCAAAACAGTTTAAAGAAAATAACTTTAAAAACAATTAGATTAGTTGTTTGCATATCTACAATTGTTACAAAAAATTACTCAACCAAATGTGTATATTCATACCCTCTAGTTCTATGTTTGTATTTAAGGAGTGAAGGAGTTAAAGTTGTATCATTTAAAGATGCTAGTAAAAGAAATAATGTATGTTTTGCAACATATTACCAATTTCTTGTTAAATAGTAGTACTTATGATAATTGATCAAACTTATTATACTTGAACAAAAAAAAAAAAAGGAAAAAACCTATAACGTCAATCCAACGCTTGTGACGTTGGCCCGACGTTGACCCATCGTATGCATGCTAGCTGGGTTATAACCAATGCATTAATGTTTATTAAAAATCAAAAAAATTCTTAACAAAAAAGTTTATTGCTGGGCGCGCTTTATACAGTTAGTATTTAAAGAACACAAACAAAAATGTGATATAACATAAAATGTTAATTATAACTATTTGTTTGTATTTTAGAAGATGATACTATTGCTATTTGTATGTTTTGTGTTTGCACAAGCTAAAGGTAAAAAATATATTTAGGTAATTTATATATATTTTAATAATTAGTATTCATTTCTACTACTCAGCATAAATAAGGAAAGATCTCAACAGCTACCACAGAAGTGCAAGCAATTGCTGTATATTTTGTCAAAAAAAATGACTAGTTGTTACAAGCCCTCTTTAGATAGATCATAAAAACAGTCTGAGGGCGCCAGTGCCGTACACCTATTTTTTTCAAAATTAAATGAATAAACCATCATAATTTTCAGAAAAAGTTATATATATATATATATATATATATATATATATATATATATATATATATATATATATATATATATATATATATATATAATATATATATATATATATATATATATATATATATATATATATATATATATATATATATATATATATATATATATATATATATATATATATATATATATATATATATGTATATATATATATATATATATATATATATATATATATATATATATATATATATATATATATATATGTATATATATATATATATATATATATATATATATATATATATATATATATATATATATATATTAGGGTGGTGCACAAATATATTGACAATTTTAAAAGTTTCAAAAATCAATGTGGTACTTTTTCCTATTGTTCCTTTTTATCATTATATTAATTCCTGCATAATTTAAGCAAATTTGAATGACTTTTAGAGGTCGCTCATGGCCATGTTTCCTCTTTTAATTGCCATTATTTTCCTATTCTAACGTTACTGTGAAGTTTTTAATATGTACATTTGTTTATTTATTTTATTATGACATAACTCTTAGATTGATTTAAATTAATTAATTATAATCATTATTTTAATCGATTGTAAATATTTTTGAAATATATTTTTCTATTTTAATAGTGTGCAACTATCTTTGACAATATACCGCAAAGCATTTTAATTTTTTTTTCATATGAGTGCTGATTTGAGGCTTTAAAAAAATAAATTCATTTTGTGATAACAATTGTTTTACTAAGGTTATATTTTGATTTTCAGAAATATCCTGTAATATGAATTCTCAGTTATCTTTCCCTTCGTTTTCGAAAAAAATTGAAACTCGAACAACTACTGACATTTATCTTGTTGGGTCTGTTTCTCCAAATATTTCTGGGATGAAGCTTCCAACATGTCGACAAGTTCTTGCAGTATTTTTTTAATCTTCACAAAATAGAAAAAAAAACCGTTAGACAAAGTGCAAGGTGTGTCATTCGAGAAGTATTTCATTTGTGGAATATGGCAAGAATTCCAACAACTATTGAACGTAATGCAATTGAAAAACTTGAAATTTTTTTTTACAAATGGGCTAAAATAAAGAAAAACATGAAACGAGCTTCGGCAACACAAAACAGCAAATGAAAATGTTTTTTGTGAAGAAATTGATCGCATTTTTGATATAGCACATGCTGATGCCATGAGTTTGATTACAATTGAAGAAGACAGACTATTTCTAATAGATCAGCGAGGTGAACGTAAGAGATACATGGCCCGAGTTGACATGGCATTGGCAAAAACAGAAGAACGTGTCCAGAAAAGAAAAGAATTAGAAGAGTCCAGACGTTTTCAGGAAAAAAAGCAAAAAAAAAAAGCTGAAAATACAAGTCACATTGATTCAATGCACCTATCTGACAAGTCTACATCTGGCACTGAAACCTCAGATGAAGAATTTATGAAACCAAAGAAATCTAATCAAAATGTTGTAAAAAAGCGATCGCGATCTCAAAATATCATTTCACCTGAGTTAGCATCTGCTCTTGACCGAACCAACGTCACGGATCGCCAAGCGACTTATTTACTGGCAGCTGCAGCAAAAGGTTTAGGTCATGACATTACAGATTTTGCTATTAGTCGCGATACGATCCGGAGAGCTAGAATTACTAATCGAAACAAAAATGCTACAACCATAAAGTTTGCATTCAACTCGTCAAATGTTCCATTGACTGTTCCATTGACTGTCATTTTGATGGCAAAATATTGCCAAATATTACTGGAAGAAATACAGTTGTTCGATTAGCAGTTGTTGTTACAGGTTACAACGTTGACCAGCTTCTTGGCATTCCAAAGTTAACAAGGGGTACTGGTAAAGCAATAAGTGAAGCTGTTATAACAACTTTACTAGATTGGGACATTCAAGACCGAGTTAAAGCAATTAGTTTAGATACAACGGCTGCCAACACTGGTACCGAAGCTGGAGCGTGTACTTTAATTGAAAAAAAGTTTAATAGAGAACAATTACACTTGGCATGCCGTCATCATATGTATGAAATCGTCTTGAGTGATGTTTTTAAGCATTCTCTTGGGCAATCCAGTGGTCCTGAAATAGGATTATTTAAACGTTTTCGTGAAAACGGTCATTAATTGACAAAAATAATTATGAAACAGCGTTAAATGATCAAACATGTTCGGACATTTTGGCTTCTCACACCATACTCAAACAGGATGCACTATTTTATTTGAAAACAATTCTTGAATCTGGTAAACAATATCGAGATGACTACAAGGAATTGTTGGAACTAACCTTGTTGTTTCTTGGTGATGTTCCTCCTCGTGGGGCTCATGTAATGGCTCCCGGAGACATACACAGAGGAAGGTGGATGGCTAAAATTTTATATTTAATGAAAATATGGATGTTCAAAAGGCAGTTCAAATTAACGGCAAAAGAAGAAAAATCACTTCGAGGTATTAGCTTGTTTGCTAGTTTGATGTACACCAAATTTTGGATATCATGTACCAATCCAACACTTGCTCCGTCGAATGATCTCACTTTCTTAAAGACAGATTTTCAACATTAAGCCGTTAACAATGGAATTTTTACAGCTGCAGCAACAGCACTTTCGAGGCATTTATGGTATCTAAGTGAAGAAATGGTAGCATTGGCTTTTTTTGATAAGGGGATCAGCAAGGAAACAAAAGCAAAAATGGTTTTGGCTCTACAAAATGCTGGAGAGGATGAACCACAGAAAAGAATAAAAATCGATTTAACTTCAATTGAAAATCTGCAAATAGAAAGTTTTGTAACAGAGAATACCTTAAATTTTTTCAACATTTTGGAATTACCAACTACTTTTTTGACAACTGTTGATCCTGACAAGTGGACCGAAAATGAAGAGTTTCAACAGGCAGAAAAAATTGTAAAAAGTCTACGAGTTGTTAATGATACGGCTGAATTAGGAGTAAAACTAATTCAGGATTTTAATTGTTCAATTACCAAAAATAAAGAACAAAAGCAATTCTTGTTGCAGGTAGACTCTGAACACAGGTCAAAGTTTCCTCTGCCACAGAAATCTTTGTTGATCGATGGAGCCAAGTCATCAAAAAACGATGGAAACAAAATCCAATGAATATTTTTTCATAGATTCCAATAATTTTTTGCAAAGAAGCTGAAATATAAATGAAACCTAAAACTCTAACAATTTTTAAGATTTTTTGGAACTATTATTGTTTTTTAAATTTGTCGTTACTATAGTGAACACAAATACGTTATTATAAACCAGAATTTA